CAAGTAAAAAAATTTTTAAACGAGAAATTCAACCAATAATTAGCTATAGCTGAGGAAAAAATTAGTGAACATATCATAGACCCAAGGGAATTACCCAGAGCACAACATAAAGAGATAAGGAGATAAAAATAAAGCAGAGAAACTAAGAGATATTAGAAGAGAATGAAAGGACCAAATATGCATCTTATAGGAGTTCCAGGAGAAGGAATAAAACCTAAGATAGGAAAGGAACTATTCAAATAGAAAATGCCTGAGAACACTCCATAATGAAGTTCATGTTGGGGGCAGGAAAAGAGTAATAGGTCTCATATTGGATAATAGAATAGACTTAAAACCTACACACATATCAGAGAACAAATAATAATTCAGAGACCTTTAATAATTTTTTGAAAAGACAGAGACAAGGTATGTTATCTACAAAGAATGATGATTAGAGTGACACAAGAGAAATGCCAGAAAAATGGAATATCTTCAAAGTGATGAAGGGAAAATAACAATGAAGAATGGTGCAAAATAAAGACATTGTTTAAAGACTGGGGGTGCTTTCATAAACTCTCACTAAAAGAATGAATAAACCATGTACTTTAGCAAGAAGGAAATGGAAGAAGCAATGGGAAAACAATGAAATACAATAAAAAAAACAATGAGCTAGGAAACTGGTAGTTGTTGGTCAATTTAAATAAGCATTCACTGTGTAATAATGGATAACTGGGGGCAGGTTAAAAACAAGATAGAGGCTGGGGATTTAGCTCAGTGGTTTAGCCGCCTGCTGCGCAAGCACAAGGACCCGAGTTTGATCCCTGGTACAAAAAAACAACAAAACAAAAAAACCAAGATATAGCCAGTATACCAGACAGCAATAACATGGAAGAATGCAGAAAGAATTCAGTTAAAATATTCTATGTCTTCTGTATTATTCAGGAAGAAATAGTGATTAGTTTTAAATTTAAGTCAGAGATACATGTTATACTTTAAGGATAACCTAGAATAGAGGAGTAGCATGCCTTATTTTTAGTCATTATAGGAAAAAAGGGATTAAAGGAAACTTGACCAATCTCATAGAAAGCAATAAAGGAGAAAGAAAAAGGAAAGCACAACTGGAAATAAAAGTAAATAAAAGACACACATGTGTAAATACCGAATAGTTTCTCTAGTGTGAGAAACTGAAAGAGTAGAGGATTAAAATGAATAATTGATAATGTGAAATAGGAAGAAAAGGCCCAAAGGGGTAGGGGAAGTGGGAGGTGTAGAGGAAAGGAAAGAAGAGGAAGGAGAAAATGGAAACAAAGTCTTTGGAAATAGAGAAGGGTGGAGAAGTTGAAGGGAGGGCAGGGGAATGGGGAAAAAATAAGGACCAAGATGCATCATGTAAAGGTACAAGTTCCCAGTGATGAATGTAAATGTATTATATACCTAAAATGTAATAATAAAAGAATTTAAGAAATAAAATAAAATAAAAGCTTGACTTAACAAACAAAAATCCCACAACCCTCTCAATATAGAATTGAATATAGATTTAAGTATCCTTCTAGAATAACAGAATAATGAAAAAATGTATAGGTGGTCAAAAAACTGCAAAATTTTTCAATGCAGAGTTTAATGAAATTTCTCACAAAATGCTTCTATATACCTGGGCAGTGTGTAATTTTATACTTAATTTTTTTTTATAATAAAGACTCAGATATAGGACTTAGTATTATTTATTAGACAAGTTCCTATTAATAATGGTGCATTTAGGATGACATGATACTCTATACAGATGACCCAAAAAACTCTGCCAAAAGATTTCTAGACTTCATAACCAAATTTGGTAGAGTAGCTGGATACAAGGTCAACACAAAGTCAATACAAGGTCAACACAAAAGTCAATACCCTTCTGTACATGAAAAACAGACTCACTAAGAGAAGAACTGGAGAAACCACTCCTTTCACAATAGCATCCAAAAAAATTAAAGACCTAGAAATCAATCTAACAAAAGAAATCAAAGACCTCTACTCTGAAAACTACAGCACTCTGAAAAAAAGACATTGAAGAGGATATCAGAAAATGGAAAGATATCCCTTGCTCCTGGGTAGGAAGAACCAATATAGTGAAAATGGCCAACCTTTCAAAACTTCTATATATATTCAATGCAATCCCAGTTGAAATCCCAACAGTATATTTCACAGAACTAGAGAAAACAATCTAAAAATTCATTTGGAACAAGAAGAGACCTGGAATAGCAAAAGTAATTCTAGGCAACAAAGCCGTGGCAAGGAGTATCACAATCCCCAACTTGAAATTATATTACAACACCACTGTGATAATAACAGCATAGTACCGGCAAAGAAACAGACCCGAGGATCAGTGGAATGGATTAGAAGATGCAGAAACAACTCCAGACACACTAAGCCACCTCATCTTCAACAAAGGAGCCAAACATCCTCAGTGAAGGAAAACTAGCCTCTTTAATAAATGGTGCTGGAAAAATTGGGTTTCAACTTGCCAAAAATTAAAACTAGACCCATATCTTTCAGCATGTACTAAACTAAAAATCAAAGTGGAATAAAGATCTAAATATTAAAACAGAAATATTAAACCTGCTGGAAAATAGGTTAGATGGAACTCTTGAAGACATTGGTGCAGGAAAAGACTTTATGAATGAAACCTCAGTAGCTGGGAACTAGCACAAAGAATCAACAACTGGGATCTCATCTTATTAAAAAGCTTCTGAGAGACAACCTACAATGTGGGAAAAAAACTTTACCAGCTGTTCCTCAGAAAAAGGACTACTAGGGCCAGGGATTTAGCTCAGTGGTTCCGCCGCCTGCCTTCCAAGCGCAAGGACTGGAGTTCGATCCCTGGTACCAAAAAAAATAAAAAGGACTACTATCTAGAATATATAAAGAACTTAAAAAAAATCAGATCCCCCAAATATAAAGACCCAGTCAAAAACTGGGCATCTGAAATGAACAGACATTTCTCAGACAAAGAAGTAGAAGAAGCAAATAACCATATGAAAAAATGTTCAACATCACTGGTCATTTGAGAGATGCAGATGAAAATAACACTGAGATTCCACCTCACTCCAGAAAGAATGACTGGTCTCATGAAATCAACCAATAACAAATGCTGCCTGGGCTGTGGGGAGAAAGAAACCCTTCTCCACTGTTGGTGGTAGTGTAGACTGGTGAAACCACTGTGGAAATCAGTGTGGAGATTCCTCAAAAAGCTAGGATTAGAGATACCATTTGACCCTGCTATTCTCCTGCTGCGTTATCTTCCCAAAAGAATTAAAAGCATCATACCACAGTGATATATGCACACCCATGTTTATAGAGGCACAGTTTGTAATAGTTAAATCTTGGCAACAGCCCAAAAGCCCATCAACTGGTGAGTGGATAAAGAATATGTGGTGTTTTTTTTTTATAAAATGGAGTACTACTCAGCCATAATGAAAGATAAGCTTGAGACATTTATAGGTAAATGGATGTACCTTGAAGCTATATCATAAATGAAATAAATAGGACACACATAAATACCAAATTGTTTCTGTAGTGTAAATACCAAAATGTGTAAATACCAAATTGTTTCTCTGGTGTGAGAAACTGAAGGTGTAAATGAGGACCAAAATGTATAATAGATATTCTGAAACAGGAAGAAAATGTTCAAAGGGGAAGGGGAACTAGGGAGAGGGGCAGGGGAAAGAAAAGAAGAGAAAAAAAAATTGAAGGTAACAAGGAAAAAACAGAAACAAAGCTTATGTATACAGGGAGGGGTGTGGGGGTGAAGGGAGGGCAGGGAAATGGGAAAAAAATAAGAATCAAGATATATCATGTACAAGAACAAATTCTCAACAATGAATGTGATCATAAGATATACCTAAAATGTACCAATAAACTCAATAAAAATTTTTTAAAAAGTAAATAAAAGAGTGGGAGCTGGGCAGTAGAAGCCAGGGGAGCTGAGGGAGGCTGCTGGGAGGTGGAGACCGAGCAGGGCAGTGGCCAGTGGGGTAGTGAGGCAGACGCACAGTTCCTTGCCTTTCTGAGATGCGTGCTTCTCCACTTCTCCTTTGTAATCAAAGCCCACAGCTGACTATAGAGAAGAGAACAGAGAGCTGGTTAGAGTAGGAGCTGACAGCCCCACTCCGCACTTACCCTTACTCCCCCCTCCTCAGCCCCAAAGGTGGTATGCAGGGGCTCAGGGGTAGGTGCAGAGGTTTAATGCGGAAACAGTGCCTTGATGTTGGTGTCAGGCAGTGGGCTACAGAGCAAGGAGCACAGGCTGTGGATGTAGACAGTTCTAGATCCAAACTCCACCTCCCCATTCATAGTTGTGTAGCTTTAGGCAGGCTCCTTAATGTTACCAAACACTGGTCTCTTCAAAAAAAAATGAGAAGTACAGAAGTATGTCTGCCTCATCTACCTTGATTGTAAGATGAGAGAAATGCTCCCTCTTCCTATATGACAACTTAGGGGAAAAAGATAATGTATACATTTCACCTGAACTGAGTCCCTTACTAAACCAGTGCTTTTCTTCTTAAATAATCCTTTCAAAACTGAAATGAGATAATAGGCAGAAAAGTGCCTTGTAAACTATACAGACTAAGCACATGTATTGCTAGTTGATTTTCCTGTGCCCATTTTCTTTCATTATGCAGCAGTGCAAACACAAGCATGCAGATTTAGGTGGTTTGGGAGCAATCAGGAGAGTCTGGATCCTAGCTGGGCCCAGGATGGAGGAAATTGGCCAGAGGCCCAGAATCACCTCTGAGCTGCATCTTCATCGGTTCAGTAACAATGGGTCTCTCTAAGCAGGTCTAAGGTTTTGCATCGTGGGAGCTAAGAAGTACTGTCTCTTGATTTACATGACACTCAGTTGTTTAGATGATTAAGTTTGTGGCATACTATTATTGCTTTTAAAATTTCTGCATTTTCCTTTCCTTCACAGCATGTTTTCAAGTTTCCTGGTTTGATTTGGTTCCCCTCACTGCCTATTCAAACAATTAATTCTGGCACTTAGCTTTATGGATTCAGTCTCACCAAATTAGCAATTGGTAGTTAATTTAAAAGATGACAACAATCTCAGCCAACTGTGAGGGAGAAGTCCTCTCTCAGTGCAGCTGCAGGAAAATAGATAGCAGTCTGCACTCTGAAATATGAATTCAAAGAGTCTGATTTAATGAATGAGTGTGGAACTGTGAGCATCAGAGAATCCAATCTCACTCTCCCCTCCTTTGTACCATCCTGTAATTATACTGCACTATGTTTTCTCCTTAAACCTACTCTTGGACAAAGAAGTCTATAAACACCTGGACTTTAGAGATTGGTGCTAAATCCTCTGAAAAGTAACTTTTGCCTTCTAAAAATTTATAATCCTAATTGTCTTAGTTGATTTTTGCCATCATGGTACTAATATTTAACTGACCTCTCTGTTTTTCTGGAAAGCATAAACATTTATTTATAAGGTTTTGATATAAGGCCAGAAGAAGAATTTTGGAAATTCTGTCTTCTTGCTTCATGCATACAGGTATAATAAAGAACCAATGAATTCAAGGGGTCTTATTTAAACAGTTTGAAAATCTTTGCCTTTATTCATTTCTATTTTGTAGGGCTGGAGATGGAACCCAGGGCCTCCCCATGCTAGGCAAGTACTCTCCCACTGAGCTGCATGCCCAGCCTGTGTCCTCATTTAAATGAATGCCTTCGAGCTCAGTACGTTGCCTCCAACGTTCACACCAGGGAACTTGCTGAGAGAGATCATAGGAACTACCTTTGTGATGGTGCCTGACTCCAATATCCACTGTCTTTTACCCCAAAACGAGTGCCTGCCTCTACTCAGGGGTGAGTATTGGTAAGTCCTGTAGGATTTAAGGAGGATGGTCTGGGAAGAAAGGTTGTCACTTACTTTATCTGCTCTGTCCTTCTCAACTCCATATTTTCCCCCAAAGCCTTTGGCAGCATCAGTCTGCGAAGAGTGTTTCTCTACCTCTGCAACATACTCGTGGCCCACAGCACTCTGAAAAGCAAGAATGGAGTGAGGCAAAAGGTAAAGCCAACCTTGGAAAAAATAGATACAGAGATTCATGGGTTGTTACCATACAAAAATATTCCTTTCTGGGTGGGATCTGTAGCCTCTGGCAGTGGTGCCAAGTAATTTGTGACAGGAGAGCATGGTGATTTCTGGAGCCCTGCACACCCCTAGTTCCTCTTCTGTGCCATTAGGGAGCCAACATTCAGAGATGCTCGGAAGATGGGGTTGGGGGCACAGGAAATAGACCAGGGAATAGACCAGGTAGATTGAACAAAAACAGATCTAAAACAAGGCCATCAAATAGAAATGAGCAGTATTGAGGGAGATTCAAGGGGACAGACTGGATGGATACCATGACTGGGAGTGAAGTTTTCACTAAACCAGCCATGTTTTTGTCCTAGCTCTTTGCTTGTGTATGGTCATCAACGTTTAGAGATGAACTTTTCTACAACATATAATGAGTAATATGTATATATACAAGACAATCACTGAATACACAGTAAAAAAAAAAAGTAGCAACATAGACACAATACATTTTAAAAAGCAGCAAATGATTCTAAAGCCTGTTTTTCCTCTTCTCCACCTGAGCTCCCCCCTCCCCAGTCTAGGAGTTAATGTGCCTGGAGCTATGGAGGGCCTGCTGCTGTGAGATCTTGACTCTATTTTCTATCATCTACATCTTACACACTGAGCTAAAAAAAATGGATATAAACAGCATGTCGACATTTTATTTTAAATCCCAAATGAATACTGTACTTTCAACAAGCTCTAAACCATAACACCAATAAATGAGTTGATGTATCATTTATTCTTTTTTTTTTTTTTAAGCAAATCTCTTCCTTTCAACTCACCTTGTCCATTCGGTCTCTTTCCACTCCAAACCGCCCTCCATAGCCATGGGAGGCTTTGGGCCCTGATTCCATCTCTTTCTTCTTGAGAACATCGTGTTCCTCCGACACTTTGCTCCTCAGCTGGTGGATGCTGGAAGTAACCACATGACTGAGACCTGGGACAGGAAGGCTAAAAAAACCCACTCTCCCAGAAAAACAGAAAGCTTGAAATCTGTTTATTTGTACCCCTAACCCGAGTCCCCAAAGTATACTGGTGATGGTTCTGGAAGTACAGCTCAGTCTGACCTGTATACCATAGCCTGATTGAAATTCTCCAGGTACCACTAGTATTTCCTCTAGTCTATTATTTTGCTCACTAATGTAACCTTCTGATCTTTAGTCCTATTTTTCATGTTCTCAAGTATTAGAGTACAATGATGCCTATATTGTAATAGCTAGGAAGTTTGGGAAGTTATCTTCCTCTCCAAGGGGATCTGTTTTCTATCAACTTGGTGATTGGCCTCAAGAAGCATAAAAATATTCATATACACTGGGACCTACACATTCTAGTCTAAGGTGTCTACCTCAGAGAAATAATTTTAAATATGTACAGCAGAGCTTAATGTTTAATCATTCACTGAAACAGTGTCTGTAGTATTAAAAAGCAAGAAAAAACTTATATGGCCAATAACTGGGAAATAATTTAGAAAATTGAAATGTCACCTTTTAGCAGCATACTAGAAGTCATCAAAAGTGGTGATTATAAAAATGCAGCATTGGAAAAATTTATTTATGCATAAGTATTTACAGTTTTTAAAATCAAGAATTAACATCTTGACCTCTTCCTCCCAAGCCTGATAATTTCTGAGGCACTAATAACAAAAACTAACTATAAAGTTTACAAATCATTAATTTTATAACAGTTTAAAGCCCAGATAACTTTGATTTGGGACACTGCTCCTGTATTTCATATCACTTCCATCTTTACCATGAAGGTGAATACTGAAGAGAGCAGAGACACCTTGGCCAGTGTGTGTGGCCCAAGGATATAAAGCCACAGCTCAGCACCAGTATCATTAAGTGACAGTGATATACACTTGGACACACACAAGGACCCCTGGGGATTCTTCTAAATATTTGAGGAAAAGAATCCCAAATAAGAAACTTGGCTTTCTGCAATAAGCAGTAAAGGTCTGCAGGGATCTCACTAGCTCAGGACAAAAAAATCCTCTTGTTACAGGTAGGGTGGCCATCTGAGTGGAAATTATCTTCCTTCATGGAAGAACAGATCCATCTGGTGGCTTTGTGGAATAGTCCCATCAAAGGTCTTTTAAAATCCTTCTCAGCTTTAGCCACAGTTAATTTTAGAAAGCTGGCTATGAGCCAGATGTAATTAATCTAAGTCTGGAAGAACCCCATGTTCCCACATCTCCTCTAAACCCTCTGGCAGTGGCCACAGCAGAGATCCTCTACTGTAGTTTAGCAGAACCAACACTTCAGAACTGGCTGTGTCAGAAAAGCTGCTGGTTCCAAGAACATGCAAATGACTGTCCAACGTTACCCAGCCAAAGTGTTCAGATGAGTGATGAAGAAAAGGGGGCAAACATTGCTTTTGATTGAGAAAAACTTGTAAGGATTTAATGGTTTCAGTGATTATTTTAAAAATTCAATAAATTTTTATTTAAGGAATTTCACATGTAACTCGTTCACCGCTCAAGGTCATTTTAATGAGGTTCTGCATCTTCCAAATAACCTTTTTAAAAGAACTGATGCTTAATCCAGCCATCCTATCATAATTCTTTGCATCTCCTCTTGAATTATGGACAAACACAGACAGCTTCAAAACTCCTGAGGTCTTAGATCCAAATTTCATCCAATAATTTAATATAGGAGAATTTAGAGTAGATACATCTGCCTTGCTCTGACACTTTCTCTAAACATGCATGAATTCATATTCATTTTCTAAACTACCTCACTGAGGAGTAGCAAAGATCTCTAGGATATGTGAATATCTAAGATAAAAAACATTATTAGGTCCTCTAAACTTTTTTGCTGTCTTATAGACTCTTATCACAGGCCTAAGAAACAGACCTGTGAGCAAAACAAAACCACAGAGTTACTCTATGAGGCATTTCTGACAATGTGCAGCCATAGTTCAGTGACTGTTAAATGGTTGCTATAGTTGAAACAAGTTTTTAAAAGGCGTTAGAAAAATGATACTCAGGATTAGCCACCTAATAGATACAAATAGTATAGTCCAAGAATGGTGCCAATAAATAATATCATTCGAATGAAAATGTTGTAGCCAAAGAAAACTAGCTTTTTAGCAACTTCTTCAGAATATAGGATATAATCTATTCTGAATGGGTCTTAAAATATCATTCCTTTATTTGACAAATATTAATTAGACAACTTTTGAGTGTAAGGCACTGTTAGGCTCTGAGGACACAAAGGTCACCAATATATGGAGATAGTGGTAAGGTGGAAGAGAGAGCAAGGAAAAGAGAAAGTTACAATTCAATGTATTGAGTGTCATACCCAAGCTTTCAGGTATCTGTTTTAAGTTTTCAAATACCTTGGATTAATAAAGCAGTGCAGTCTATAGAAATCAAGCGAAATACAGAGCCTCAAAGCTAAAAAGAAAGGACAAAACTTTGAGGTTTTATTACAGAATTAAAAGTACAAAGGTGAGTGACTCTGACTCCAAGGTCTTTACAGATGATGTGATCATGTGTTTGGAAAATGAATCAACAAAAGGGGAATTAAAACTATTATGAACATTTGGCAGTCACAGGATACCAGGTCACTATATCAACATGAGTATTAGTTCTACCTTTTAGTAATGGACATTTGAAAACTGAAAGTTAATAAATATCAATTATAGTCATGTGAACTATTTTAGGATAAATTGAACAAAATATTGCAACACTTGAACACTGGAAAACATTTCTGAAAAAAATTAAAGGTAACCCAAAAAAAATGGAGAGACAACCTAGGTTCATGGATTAGAAAAGTCAGTATTATTATTTTATATATATATATTTTTTTGGTACTGGGGATTGAACTCAGGACCTTGTGCTTGTGAGGCAGGCAATGGCACCACTGAGTTAAATCCCCAGCCCCTCAAAAGTCAGTATTATTGTTAAGAGGTTAGTTCTCCCTGAAAATGACCTATACATTCAATGTAACCCCAATCAAAATCCCAACAGGCATTTTAAAGGAATTGACGAGCTTATTCTAAGATGTACGTGGAAATATAACACACTGGAGTATTGAAGAGTTTTACTTATATTTTAAAAAGTAGTATAAAATTGGAGGACTATTTGATTTCATGACTTATAAAGTTGCAATAATCACTATCTGGTAGACATATAGCTCAATGAAACAGAATGAAGTACAGAAATAGACCCACAGTGATGTGGTAAAAGATACCAGCTAAGTCAGTAGGAAAGGGACAGACTTTTAATGGTGCTGGACAACTAAATATCCATGTATGGAAAAAAATGATCTTGATCTTACAAAAGTTAACTTGACATTTGATCATAGACTTAAATGTAAAAGCTAATACTATAAATTAGAAGAAAATCCTCACAACTCTGGGGTAGATAAGAATTTCTGAAATACGTTAACAATAAACATTTTTTGATAAATTAGACTTCATCCGAATTAAAACGTGCTCTACCAATGATGCCATTAATGAAATGAAAAGGCAAGTTTCAATTTTGGAGAAAATATTTGTAAAGGACATATTATAAAATGTGTAAAATATTGAAAAATATATGAATATTAAAATATATGAATGGCACAAAACAAAATGCTCAATAAGGTTTTTCACAAAAGAAATATAAATTAAGGCCAGGCATTTAGCTCAGTGGTTTCGCTGCCTGCTGCACAAGCGCAAGGACCCGAGTTCAATCCCCGGTACCAAAAACAACAACAACAACAACAACAAATATATTTACATATATATATATATATATAAATTAAAATCACCACATGTCCGTAAGAGTAGTTGAAATGAAAACTACTGACAAAGATGTGGAGCACCTGAGACCCATGTATTGCTAAGTAGAAATGAAAACTGGTAAATACTTTTCAGAAAATAGTTTGGCAGTTTCTCAAGAAGTTAAACACACACTTACTATACGACTCAGTGATTCTATTCCTAAATATTTTCCAAAAGAAATAAAAATATACATCAACAAAAAGATTTGTACCCAAATATTCATGGTATCTTTATTTATTTATTTACTTTTTGCCCCTCAGGACATCAAGGGCTCCAGATACCAATGAAAGTTTCCCTTTAAGTTACAATGGGAATCAATAACAATGCAATATGGACCCCTTCCTGGGGAGTGTGGAAAGGCCATGGTATCTTGTAGTAGATTCAAATGTCCAGCAATAAGGTAATGTTTAAAACTGTGGTATTTCCATACAATGGGATACTCTTTGACAATAAAAAGAAACAAAACACTGATATGTACAACATCATGCCTACATCTCAAAAACATTATGCTGAATGAAAGAAGACAAACTAAAAAGAGTGAAATCTTCATTATTTCATTTACACTGTATAAGAAATTCTAAGACAGGTAAAATTACCCTATATTGACAAAAAGCAGATCAATGTTTACTCTGGGTAGAGGTGGAGAAGGGAGGCATTGACTACAAAGAGGCACATGGAAAATGTTCCATATATATATGGAACAAAATTCACCAAACTATTTCCTTATAGTTATTATACTTGATAAGGTTGATTTTTAAAATAAGAATGTTATTAAGGCCAACCTACAAGTCACTTAGTCATCCTAAACAGCAGCCTTAGAGAAAGGCAATAACTCACAGGAATTTATATTCTATTTCAAGAGAATCATGGACATGATAATATTGTGTTTATTAGAGAGAAACATATGATATAATGGTTAGAATTCAGCCCAGGGAGTCAGACTGTACTGAATTTAAATTAATTGTATATTATTTGTATCCTTGGAAAAATTGTTAAAGATCAATACATCTGTTCACTTTTCTGTGAAATCAAGTTGATAGCATCACTTATGATACATGGTTGTTTTGAAAAAGCACTTAGCTTCACATGACATGTAGCTCAGTAGCTACTGGCTATTAGTCCTTTGTTGGAGATATGGCAATCCACAGTACCTCTGTAAAATAAACAGGGCTGGTACTATTCTTTCTAGTCACATAGGGAAATAGAGACAGAATAGTGAAATAATTCCCCTTAATGCTTTGATTCCTTATATAGGAGAGCTGAGACTAGTGCCTAGATCATCAAAATTTTATTTTAATATTCTTCATTTCCACTTGGCATTAAGTGTCAGGGTGCAAGAGAGTAGACAGGGCCACTGAGGCAAGTACCTATTTTTATCACTCAGTGAGGATCTAACCTAAAAGCCAGATGGGTTGCAGGAAGCACCAAAACCCTAGCCTGACACAATGCTATTCAAAGTGCAGTTCATAACTGTTTTCCACAATGAAATAAGAAAAAAAAATTGAGAGTACACATTTAGAAACTTTTATAGCAATTTGACGTAGTAATTTACATATGCTGAATCTAAAAGTAAAAATTGTGCATGTATTTTCTATTTCTTTTCTTTCATTTATTTTTTCCAGAAATTCAATATTACTTTATTTTACAAAAGTATCAGTCTGTGACAGATTTGAAAATGAACAAACACAAACCATTCTCCTTCACCAGAGAAAATGTCATAAGTACAGTCAGAAAATGATAAAGATCTTTAGTGTTTTATCTTTATAAGGAAGGAGATCAAAGAAAATGAATGCACAAGGGTGGAGAGAGGAAGGTAAAGAGAAGGGCTGCAGCCCTGGAATCTCAGGTACTTTGTTTCTATGCACAATAGATGAGGGATGGATGTGTATTTATTTGTTCCCCTTCTCCTCCTCTCCCTGTCATTTCCCTACCTCCCCAGATTCTCTACCCACCTCTACAGTCTAAATTTATTCATGACAGACCTAAAAAGAAACACTGTGGTGTGGGGGAAGGTAGCAAGATTAATGAGAATCTGTCACTTCCTTTTCCTGCTTTAAGCCGTTTCAATTCACCAACTACCCTACAGTCTTCTCCCCTGACTTCCCTCTTTGCTTCAAGGGCTTTAGTGATTCCCACACGACAATGAAGGCTGGTTTAGCTCACAGTATCTAGAAAGAACCCGGGTGATTAGAGATATAATACTGGACTATCCTTTAGAGATCTCTTTGAAACATACAAGGAAACTAAGGATCAGAGAGGATAAGAGATTTGGCCAAGATGACCTGGCCTGAAGCCAGCAGAGACCAGGCTTTGACACATTTGCTGCCTGGGTAATGGAAAGCGAGTAAGCTTTTGTGAAAATATCTTCAACAATTATTCTAATGGCCACAGATCCAGTTAGGTTTACAAGGAGATACACAGGGTCACCACCTTATACAACTTTAGGGACACGAGTCACAGTGATATACACAGTAGAGTTCTGCAACATGGCAGTCCATGTAAACATCATTTAGGAAGAAGAAAGCCCATCATCTGTTTGTATGTTTATATTAGGCTTTGAAGAAGGAAATTAGATGAAACTAATCTATATTAACAGGAAAGATATATAACATCATTGAACAGCCAAGTGTTAAGGACTACAGGAGACAGTGATATATGCTATTTTTTTTTTTTTGAGTTCTAATCTTGAATCTGCAGGGTAACTGTTATAATTCCCACTGATAAGCTGAGATGTAAAGAGTTTCTGTGTCTATGTTCACATAGTTGGCAGTGGCTGTGAATGAATCTAAATCTATCTGAAATGCAAACACAAGCTCCTCTATACATTTATGGCAGGATATAGAAATCTTCCTTAAAATGTTTTACTGCTATCTACCATGCAAGAGACACACTGGGAGAGAAAGGTACAATGTGTATCCTTATTCTAATAGTTTCCAAGATTCTAAGGTTGACTGGCCTTCACACACACACACACACACACACACACACACACACACAAGGAAAAAAGGCTATTAAAAAAATCTATGAGCTTATTAAGGAATAAGCATCAAAGAAGTTTCTTAAAAGATTCTTTTTTTTTCAGGTATGCAATAAATATAAATTTAATAGTAGATCAACAGGGGGAAAAAATAAGCAGCAGCCAATATTTGATTTTCATCCTTATCACTTTTTCTAGGGTCCCTCTAACATGATGTAAACTTAAAATTTTCAAGGAAATTCCTATTCCACTCCCATCTTATCATAAATAAATTGAATAGTTTTTCTGTTTGTATGATAAAACAGGAAAGACTGTTACATTTGAAGGGAAAAGGCACTCCATTTGTGATCAATGTCACACAAAATCACATTCCCATCAGAAAACACAAACATCAACATCACAAAACTAAAATTACACAGGAGATCAATACCATTCAATAAATACGCAAGCTACTTCAGTCTCCCCCAAAAAGGATCAATACTTCAAAAAACCATAAAGAAAACCCCTGTCCATTTCCAAGTAACCCAAGCAGAAAAGACTGCAAGATGCTATGTGCGCTATTGTACCCCTCCCCTGACCCTTCACTTCTTAGAAAACTCCCTGCCCTCCACAGAGACTGAAAATGGGCCTAATTTCTTCTCAGGGGAGAACAAATTCACTGACACCTTTGGGCAATATCCCCTGTTTCTCAGGAACCCTGGCTCTATACCTAGTTCTTCTTCCAAAGCCTCTTCATATAGTTCTGGGTAAGACTTGGGCTCTGTTCCATTAAGATGGGCCAAATGAACTAGGAGTTTCATCTTGCTGGTTTCAGCTTGAGCCCTTGGACCCCACAGGAACTCGTAGCGAGCAGGATCACTATTAGGAATCTGCCAGTACATCAAATACTCTTCCCATACTAAATCCTCAGTGATGAATTTCCAGGCTTCCTCAAAATGAATATGCTCAGAGTGAGCTAACATGTCCCATCTTTTCACATTTTCAGTTAGGTCCTCCTCACTGATACAGTTGCCCTCTATGAAAATTAGAGACAGGGCAAATATAATGATGTCAATTTTGAGAATGATTCTTTCATCATCACCATCTAGTATCCCACTGTATGTAAGACCCAAAATGGGGACTAGCTCATATGTATTGCCACAGTAATTCATTTCCCTGATTTTAATGCCAAAGCCCAGATACATGGACTCAAAGAGTTCCCAAAAGTTCAGAGGGAAGTTGTTACGGTAATCATGGGGCAGAACATGCAGCATTTCTTTCATGGTGACCTGCTCCTTCTTTTGATACTTGTGGAGCAGAAATGACACCAACTTACATAACTTGGCATTTAGGAGCACATCTTCCAGGATGTGAGAGAGGCATGTGTCCTGCGAGGAGCTTGAACCCTCACAAGATTGACTCCTTTGACTGGAAGCCATGAGGACGGCAAGAACTTGTTGAGGATCAGAAGCCTTCAAATCTCCAGTGCTGGAAAATAGAGTGCTGAGCAATAGCAATTCAGCTGCTCCAAGAATCCAAACCCAGATTTTGAAAAAAGCACAACTGAGAATTCTCTACTGCACAGTGCAAGGCCAGCAACAGAGGCAGGAATGGGTTATTTTCAGAGTTTTAACCTGGAATGTGGCCTTCTCTCTCACCCTCAGCCTATTCTTTCTTTTTTTGTTTTTTTGTCACTCCAACTGCTTTCAGAACTCCTTGATTGTTTAAGAATAATTTTTATTAGGGCTGGAGATTTAGGTCAGTGGTATTGCACCTGCCTCACAAGCACAAGGTCCTGAGTTTGATCCCTGGTACCACAAAAAAAAGAGAATAATTTTTATTACAGATATTAAATTCAAAATAATTATGTCTGATTAAGCAATCATGTATAGTATTGAATATTTTAAAACTGTACAAATATATGCCCAGCTTTGTTACTATGTTGCTTATGATGTTACTATGTTGCTATCATGCTTATGATGATTCTTTTGTGAAAAAGAAGTTAAGACACTGCTGTTAATGTGTGTGTGTGTGTGTGTATGTGTGTGTGTGTGTGTGTGTGTGTGTGAGGTAAAATGGAGCAAAGCAGACAGTCCTAGTTAGATGAGTTGAATAATCCATGGAAGAGAAGAGGCGATTTCTCACTTCACATATACAATGCACCCTGCAGAAACCCCTACATAAGTCTGTGAGTTCCTCCTCTCTAATACCAGAGGTTGTTTGTTTCTGGTAAAATGAACATTGGACTATAATCTTAAAAACCTCAACATCATTGCTTATGTAGTTTTAATCATCAGGTTTTCCAAATGTCCTATTTCTTCATAATGTCTTCCAACTTCTGCAAAGTAGCGAAATACAAATTTGCATTTTAAATCATTTGGGCAAATATGAGATCTGATATTGTCCCCTTTACAGCATTTATTCTGAATTCCTCACCATGACATTTTATTGAATCCTTCTTAGCCCATGTGGAGTCAGTCTACATTCTAAGCAGATATTTGTATTTATGTGAAGAGACCAGTGGATGATAGATAGATAGGTGACTGATAGATGATATGTAGGTAGGTACGTAGATACAACCTTAGCATTTGAGCCACTTGCTCTCTGACTCTGTCATGACTGACTGAAGAAAGGGAGGCAGTTACTACAATAGACTCCCTTGGAGAAACAGAGTTGTTAGATATAAAAGAGAGATAATACAGTTAGGGGATAAGAGGAGGGACATGACGTGGGAATCCATAATAACACACATAGGGCCCCATGGAAACAAACTTTAGGGAAAAAAAACCCCAAACACATAGACACGAACCACCTCTCTTTTTCCTCCGGTATATTCCCCTGATTTTCTGTTTTCTTTGTGCTCTTCAAATACCACCCTGGCTCCACCCTCTGACACCTACTTGATGTGCTCTTTGTGTCCAGAGCCTTCGATGGTCTTGGCTCCCCACCGTTGCTCCTTCTCGGAGATGTCATTCTGCAAAAGATAGCATTCAACAAGAAATGCACCACACTTAAAGGGTCACATGACTGATAAACATGGCCTCTATGTACCCTGCATCAGCCAGGGTCTTTGCACCCTGATCCCATATAAAAGTTAAATTGGTGAGTTCTGAAACCTCCATTACCACTCTGCATCCATCACACTTTCCCTTTACTACAAGGTCTCAGTCCACCCAGATCACATATGTACAGCCCAAATCTTGGCTCACAGGTCAAAGGAGACCTAGGTTTGTTTACCTGCTACTCAACTTCAGGATAGCCTGTCATAGTCTGTCAACCACATTGTTAAACGTGTCCACACCTGTCTCCTTCCACCAACCTACCCCTCCACAAGGGCTATCTCAGTCCCAGTTGGTCCTTTTCTAAGCCCCTTCAGAGGTCATAGAGGGACCCAGATACCCTCCCCCTACACCCTCATTGTCCAAGCAAAGCTACTCTCACACTTACCACAAAGTCAGGGTCTGTGTCCCAGTCGTCACCCTGTGTCTCCACGGAAACAGATACATCATGCCCCACCACAGACTTCCACATCTGAGGGTTACAGAAGATGGCAGTAATAGGGGACAAAAAGGAATGAAGAGAAGTCAAAAATGCTGAAGTCAATGACACAGCAATCCAATGTTTCCTGACATTTTTTTTTTCTTAGAAGAAAATAGAAGCTGGAAGAAAATAGCACGTGGAAGTTTTAGAAAAGCACTCAGAGGAGAAGGGACGGGCTTTATTTAAGACATGTGGCTTGGGCCCACCTGAGTCTGGACAGAGGGCTTCACAGCCATAGATCACATTAAATAACCTGGGTGACAGAACTTCTGGGACTGTTCACTTATGTCCAGAGGTCAGCCAGGCAGTGGCTTCCAGTGGTGGCACCAGTGACAGGTACTGTGACAGCCACAGAATTATAATGCCATTTCACTCAAAATTCTACATATTACTTTATTTAGAGCCATACAAATAAGAATCAGTCCAGCTCTTGACAAAGCAAACATCTCCTTCCTGTCTACAACCTACTTCACTAAACTATATTGAGAATTTTTCCAACTCTCACTGCAAGTGCTGTTCCACAGCCACGCTGATAGAGGCCACTGCACAGGTGTGAGTAGTCAGTTGGGGCAACCAGCTGAAATTCCTACACTGAAAAATGGGAAAACAGTATTTTCTGGGAATAAGTCATTTATTAGTCAATTTAAAAACAGTTAAATTATATTTCTAGAGACAATAAGTGGTTCAAAAATAGCACGTAATATATCCCTTATTTTAAATATCAGGAGGTATTTGATTTTTATCAGCCAAATAAGCATTAAAGAAATATTTGGAATATAAAATGGTCCCACGCTGTTATTCTGCTGAGGGAGGCCTAGCGTTCCTTCCAGTCTTGCCAGTTGTGCCTAAGAGCTGCACAGTTGTTCTGCATCTGTGGGCTCTTGGATCTTGAAGCAAGGAGGTTACAATGGACAATGCTCATCTGCTCTGCTGGCCCAGGGACCACTTGCTAGCTGCAACTTCCCTGCCCTCCCTCCCTGTTCAGATAGCTCCTCCTACTGGAGATCTTCCCCTACTCTTTACTCTCTCCTAAAGGAGATTCTTTATAGCTGGCCAGCCCTAGGGCCATCCTATCTCTCTACCTATGCCCTTAGTTTATTTCTATTTCTACTTGGAAAGTCCATCCTCCTCCATGCTGTTTGAATACCTTGAAATCTAGCCCAAGGGAAAGTTAGAGTAGATTGGCTAAAGAGGTGCCAGAGGGGACACTGGAGAAACGTGGACAGCTTCAGCCTACCCCCAGAGCAGCTCTGCCTTTCTGCTGGGGAAACAGCTATGGATGAGGGAAGGGTGGGGACAGATAACCAAGACCTGTAATCCTGCATTCCTACAGCCCCTGATTCTCAAACTCTGGCTTCAGGCCTTCTCTGCAACAATAGGGCCTCACATAGAAAGTTTGAAAGGAGAAGTTTGACATATACACGAATAATAGGGAAGCAATGAGGACTCATAGTCTCATCTTTTTTCCTGCTGCTCATTCTCCCACCAACCTCTTACTTTCATCCATTTTTGAAATAAAGAGAAAAGCTTCTGACAAAGAGGTCTTTTACCTTAATGTCTTTTACCTAATGACCAAAAATCAAGAAGACAAAGTTGCTGCCTAGAAGTGAGAGACTAGAGATCTAGTGAGGCATGAAGTGAGGCATGATCCCAGGCATGAAGCTGACCTGCAGTATCAGTAAAGCACACAGACTGGGAGCCAGGAGAGCTTGAAACCTCCCAAGCTGTGACCAGGCCTCTGTGAACCATGGTAATGGAATCAACACAGAGGATGTACTCCTTTGCAGAGGACCAGACTCGGTTACTCACAAATACTAACTTTAAAGATCTGGAAAATCACTGTACTTCTGATTTCCTCAGTGGAAAATAATGAAGGGGTTGGTCAACCTAGCTGATCTGTAAAGTGCTCTCTACTTCTAACACTTGGATTTTGTGATCTTACAGTCATGGAAGCTAGCCCAGTTTAGCGATCATGCCTGCACTGGCCTTCACCAGCACTTGGTCCTTAGCATTAGTGTACATTAGTGACTACTTCCTGCTTTGTTACACTTCCTATGTGTGTTCACCTCCCTGCTAGATCCTATGCTCCTCCTCAAGGGCAGTCTGTCTCCATCTCCTGTGGTTCTCTTCCAACTCATTGTGGAGGAGGAGCAGCAGCCCTTAGAGTAGGCAGTAGATTGTCAGAAGCCAGGAACACTTCGCTGGAACTGGCATCCTAGATGGCTTCGGAAGCCTGTCTCCATCCTCAGATGTTCATTCTCCACAACCACTGCACTCAGGCCTTCTGGGTATCAAAGCTTTAAAGCCTACTAGCAGTGACCTTGTTCCTCCCCAAAGACTAAGTGCCAGGTAGGTTCTTCTGCTCTTATCTGTGCTTCCCAAATCTCCCAACACTCAAGTACCCACCTCTAGTGTGCGCGTTTGTTCTAAGCTCTCAGCTCCTCACGTCCACACCCGGTGCCCTCTCTGGCTGCTGCCACTTCACAGCAAGAAACTGAATGGCTGCTTCAGTTCTGTGTTGAGGTTTTCTGTCATTTCCTGTCACCCTGTCCTTACAGTAACTTCCTGAAGTTTGAGTCAGTTCCTTCTGCCTTAGGTATTTGAACCACAGGGGTTAAATGTTTCTGTCCTAGTCTTTTGCTAGATTATGAGAGTGATGGGGCAGTCATAAAAAAGATTGCTCTCTCAGAGTTTGTAACCTTGCCCAGAGAAATAAACATCAAACCAGAAAACACATTGGTAAGAATTTGTTGTAAATAGGTGGGCACTTGCATTTGGAATATTAAAGGAATTCAGAGATTTGGTATGAGCTCTAGTAATCAAGAAAAGCTTAGTGGGAAAAGCATATGTGGAGTTTGGGGGGAAGATTTTTTTTTCGGTACCAGGGGTCGAACTCAGGTCCTTGCGCTTGCGCAGCAGGTGGTGAAACCACTGAGCTAAATCCCTGGCCCTGGGGGAAAGATTTTTAAAACAAACTCACTTCTACATTACCCACAGCAGTTAAAAGTGAGGTTTGCATATAGTTGATCTCCAAAAAATGTTGATCAGTTGAATGATAGGAAGGAGAACTCATGAGGGGGAAAGGCAAGACATGGAGGGAGAAAGGTTCCTGGCTTGTTAGGGGGCTGTGTGGAGTCCAAGCTCACTGGCAGATCTGGCTCATTTTGGAAGTGAGAAGTCTGAAAGAACCAGGTGCTTATGATCTGATGCATGGTGTTTGTGGTATCCTGTACACTGTGCATCAAGACTGGCGGCCCCTCCCTGCCCTCTACAAGTCAGACTTTCTCAGGTGACTTGTTCTGGCTGGTGAACCAGATCCCTTTCTGTGCTAAGCCCACTGTCCTTCTTTGCCTGTTTTGCTATGCTTTTTCACTGCCCACCAAGGCAACCTACAATTCTTCAGACTGGCTCCTCTGGCAGCTTGGGGCTGTGACAAAGACAGTGACACAAGTTGTCACTTTTCCTATATGTCATCATGTGAGAAACTTGGGAGTCTTTAACTGAAAAATAATATTTTGTTTTAGCTAGCAGGAATTGGTGGTGGTGGAGGGTGTTTGTGACTGTCTGTGGAACTCTCAACTGACTGGATCAGAACCCAAGCAGGACTGGATGAAACCAGTCAACAATACAGATAACATTTCTGCCTTAGGACCAGCTTCTAAGGTTGCTTCCAAATCTAAATTCTATGCGTGGGGGAGTTTTATTTGTTTTCTCCTACTTCATTACCTATTCATCATGGTAGCGTCAAAGCTATCTAAAGGGAGAGTAAATTACAGAAAGAGAATTTTTTAGTACATATGGAATTCTAATCCAGTGTCAAAATTAGAATTATCAGATCAGACAACTTTGACACACCATACAGGAACACAGTTCTCTGGAGAAAGCATCAAAATTAATAAGAAATGATTCTAGGAAACCCCATCTATCCTTTGCAAATGCCCTAAGTTTGTTCCTTATGAGGCAGTGAGGTATAGAATGCAGAAACTGCATGGGCTTTGAAACCGTGTACACTAGATTTCATGAACTCACTTACTGTATCTTGAGAAAGTGGGACAGCTTTTCCCAGGCAGCAACTTAACATAAAAACACATTAATGCCTATATAACCTGATGGGTGCTACTACTAAATTTCTCTGTCTCCATTCCCAGACAGCTAATGTTCTCAAGAGTTCTCTCAGTATACACTCAAAATGGCATGGATTTCATTCCTTAAGACACAACTCATTTGCTTCAGTATTAGGATGGGATTTCCTTACTGCATTTCATTTTCCTGGGGTCCAGTAGCTGAGGCCAGAGGGATGCTTGTAGACATTACCGGTGTTGGTCAATTAGTAGGAAGCCTGAGTTTGTAAAGCTTTCTCACCCTGTAATCATTCCTACATATCAAACCTGCCCCCCATCTTCATCCCCTCAATGTATAAACACAAGTATATAAGCACCTATCTACACAGAGTCACACACACCACAACTTATTCTGAAAATAATTTTATTATTTTACAGTTGTTCAGGAAAGTTCTTGGAAAGTTGTGTCTAAGGTTTAGTCACCACAGAACAAGATTTCTAGCAGACCAGTGAGGCCCAGTTTTCCCTCTTCTCTGGGTGGTAAGAACAGGCAGGGAATGTATCATGTAATGAGAAAATAGTCACCTGGTAGAAGTGTGGTGGAAGGGAGAGGAGGTAAATAGGCACAAATGGAATTCACTCCTGGCTGGTGTTCTCAGGTTTGGATTTAAATTTTTATCTTCTTTACATTCTCCTTCCATTTCCTAATCTACAGAGGGTACATGACCATGGGCTGAGAAACTGGAGTAACTTAACTGCTGCCATCAGCACAGGACCCTAGTACTTTAGGAGGCCAGGAGTTGCAACATGGTCATCAGACCAGTCCCACTCCTGGCTGGAGTCAAAATTGCACCTTGGACTGGCTCCTGTTAGCCCCTGGCACTGTGCCTCATTTGAGGTATATCCAAATAGGAACGATAAGAATCTGAACCTTGCTGTCCAAAGCCAGTTCTTCCTCCCTTTCAAAGGAAAGGCATGGATTACTTAATAACTTACTCTATATGCACTGAAGAGCACAGGCAATGGAGTCCTGTCCTTACAGCCTAGGACCACAAACTCCCCCCAACAGTGTCAGGACAGCTAGAGATGATGCTGTCCTTTCCTGGGATCCAACAGCTAAAAGCCTGGAGTTCAATTCCCATTCTATGCTACAAGACCCAATTACTGTATTATGAAGGGATATGCTCATTCCCCAGGTAAACTGTTTACCCTCCCCATGAAGTAGGAGAAAAAACAGGCAAACGAGGTAAAGAAAATTATCAGTGAAAATGATACTGGGCTTCAGATTATTAGGTTTATTGGAATCATCCTCTTGGCATGGCTGAAAGACATGTCTCAGTATCTTATAGGACCATAAAGACCAGCAAAATCTGAACAAATACTGGGCTCAACAACCCAACTGTGATGGTTCTCAAGACTAAGCAGACATGTTTGGGCCCTGGGCAGCAGAGGAAAGCAGATACGTCAGGCCCTGCAGCTCCAATCATCCTTATAGCTACCTGTTTCTGCAGGCACTTTCTGTGGAGAGTTGGAGAGATGACCTGTAAAGGGGAAGACTAATCCACTGGAACTGACAGTTCTGATGTTAGAGATGAAGGAATTCCAAGTTCTGAGGGGCATAGTCCAAAAAGTGAAAACTAAGTTTATAGATGGCCTGTAAAACATAGAATGAGTAGGACATGAACCATCAGAAAGTAGATGGCTGCCAACAGTGGCACTCGGGTCCGGGAATGACAGAGAGACCGCAGGACCCTCTTCCATCCAGCACCACTCCGGGTCTGAAAGAAAAATCTGAAAGTCAGAGTTTTAACCTACAGGGATAAACCCTTTTCCTTCCCCAGTAATACTGCATATAAGCAAAGCTAATTGCACTGCCACAGTGAGGAGGCATCCTGGGAGAAAGTCTCCTCAGGGTCAAGTGACCCAGCAAATCCCACCAGGCTCTTCCAGTTTTCCACTCTCCCTCTGTCCTAGACCTGTTCCGTGGCTGAGCTTCCATACTCCCTCTGCCTGCTTAGAGCCCTCCACAGGTGGCCCTGTTTGAGAGCACCCGCCCCTTCTCTTCTTACCCTGCGACAGCTGCTGCCTGTCTGGTCTATTAACACCGACTGCTCCTGAGTGCCACAGGAGCCAATGATAGGAGTCCGGGCAGAGTCCCATTCACTGTGTTCCAACCTGTGGTAAGAGAAGGGACTGAGCATGGCCCATGGAAGGAGGGCCGGTCAGGAGGCCTCCCGGTCATTTTTCCCACCGCAGAGCCTGTTACCTCAGTAGTAAAGGTGATACCAAGCATCAGGAATTGACTGCCATGTTTGAGGTGCTGGCCAGGGGCTTAAATACCTGTCAGCCTCAGGTGTGGCGGCTGGTCTAGTGACTTGCCCATGGGACACAAAAAACAAGCAGTGGAGCCAGAATTCAATATCCAATTTGTCTTTAAACCTCATGTTCTTTTTTCCACTACATTATTTCACAGAAATTCATTACATTGTGTTTTTTATTTACAGAATAAATGAAATATAGGTGAATATAAATGAATATAGGTGATAGCACCCAAGAAAAATTTCTGTGGGGATTTTAGAATCAAACTGAACTGGCAGACTCTACTGCTTCATTTTTTGCTATTTGCTTAATATTGGAACTTTTTCATTTAATGAAGGAGCTGCCATTACTCAAGAGACTGAAAAAAACAAGAACTGTGCTAAGAGCACATCTGATCAACCATCTGCCTACAGGGATGCACTTCTGACTGAGTGGGGAGGATGGTGCTCTCCTCCCGACAGGATGTCTACTGCCTCATAACCTGGCCTCGCCTTACAGGTTGCACTCTTGCCCAGGAGAGGAATGCCTTAATCTCATCTGGCAGCCTGAGCAGAGAACCTGAGCGTGTAGCCTGGACTCCTCCCGCTGTGCCTGCAGTGTCTGTTCCTCTGAGTGGGAGGCTTCTCGGAGGCAGCCCTGACCTGCCACACATGGTCTGTTACTGCACAGGTAATCTGTCCTCTCTGGAGGTAGGGCTGTGGTGGGACAATGTCTGTATGTACCAGTGAGCCAAAAGTACCTGCTGCTTTTAAACTGCAAGGTCACTGAGTACACATGTATTTTAATCGTACCTGGCCCCCGTAGTTAGCACTTACTGAGCTCCACCAGTTTCCATTCTGTATCACAGCCAAAGGGCAAACTGTGGAGGGGCTGAGCTTGGTTCTGTGGCTCATCCAGAGGCTCCACAGTCACCCTGCACTGCGCACTCTCAAGTTGGCTCAGGTTAAGTTCACTACACCGAAGGGGATCAACCTCCCTGTGAGGCAGGTTTCACAGGTCCAACAATTCCGCAGCAAGTTGAAGAGAATCGGCCATGGACGCACAGGCCTGAAAATGCTTGGCAGAGATGGCAAGAAACAACAGGAGCTGTGCTGTGCTCCTATGGAGCCCCAAACTCCTGGAGTTGCATAC